CTGGCCGCCTGCCCAGCTCAGCACGGGAGCTGCCAAGGTGCTCCGCGGCTTGGCACTGCGATGCCAGGGCTCTGTGTGGAGGGGAAGGGGAGGGAGCCGGCAGCACCGGCAGAGCCTGGGCAGCCCTGGGGGCTGCGGAGCCTGTTAACACCTGGGAGAGCTGGGACCTGCCCTGTTGCCGTGGCAGGAGCAGCACTTACAGGAGGGCTGAAAACGCTCCTCCTGTCCAAGATGTGCTGCCTTCAAAAGGAGCCTGGCCTGCCCTGCCCTGCCACAGGCAGGAGGAGCAGCAGCAACTGAGCACCTCCAGTGCTCTCCAGTCCCGTTGCCTCCCTGCACAGCCCATCATAGCAGGGACAGAGTAACTCATCTCCTGCCACGAGCCTCCCCTGCTGCTGCTAAAGCACCCTGAAGCCAGTGAGTCCCCGTCCACATCGGTTGTTGGTCAAATTCCCCCTCGTCCCCCAGGAAAGCCGTCAGTGCTGAGACCCGAGTGCAGGGACCAGAGATAAACGTGGTGCCCTTCCCCCGGCACGGAGCACTCCTCCCCTCTCTTCCCGGGGATGCAGCAAGGGGTTAAGCGCACAGCTTCGCGTTGGGTTTGTTTCTCTTGCTCTTTAACCTGCTCCGTGCTCCTTGAGGCTGACCCCGCCATGGAGAAGCCAGGCCTGGTGCAGAAGCACAAACAAGCCTCCCCTTTGAAGCCTGTTTAGCTTGGAAGCAGGAAGGCGGATTTCGGGAGGGAATACCAGCTTTTCCTGTTTGATGTTCCGTTCTTGCACGGCTCCCCCCACCCCGGGCCCAGCCGTGCATTGTGTGGAAATGGCAGCATCAGGTCGGTAGCAAGAAGAGTCGCCAGCCAGGGAAGAGCAAAGCAGTTCCATGCAGCTTTAATTTGAATACCCAGACAGTGAGTGCCAGTCTCACCATGGAACAGAGCGATCACGCAGGCTCCCCGGGCAGTGATTCACAGCACTGGGGAGAGGCCTCAGACCCCGAGCTCTCTCCCCGAACCCCCAAGGAATGCATAGTTCCCACTTGAACTCAGGACTTGGCTCCAGGCTCGGAAACAATCTTCAGAAATGAAGCCATGGCTAAAACACACACTGTGCGCACAGAGGCTCCCTCGCACACACGTGCACACCAGCTCTCGCGCGCGCCCGGCCTCGCGCACACGCGGCCCCGTGCATGATCGTGGGCACGGACGCTCGTGCACACGTCTGGCCTCGTGCTTGTGAGCCCGGCCTCGCCGCTACCTGCCTCGGCGGCGTCTCACTCACACCCGCACGCTCGCTGTGTGACAGAGCGGCTCTTCCAGCAGCCCCAGAGGGTGGGTCCCTCCTGGAGCTCTGCTGGGGTCCCTCAGGCTTGTGCTGGGCTCGGGGGGGGCCGCAGTGGCCGGGGTTCCCGACTGCTTGGCAGCAGTGCGGGAGGCTCAGCGGGCTCCAGTGAAGGGAAACGGGGTGGGAATCCGCCTGATCCCAGGCTCAGTGTTGTCTCGAGCAGCGTGTGTCAGCACAGATGTGCGAACCCTGTATCGGACCCAGATGGGTGAGGTGTTGCAGAGCATCTGCCCTGCCAGGAGCTCGGGACAGCAGCTCCAGGTGGGAACGTGGGGCCGGGACTTGCGCGGGAAACAGTGCCGGAGTGGGACCAGCCTGCTCCCACGCGTGACCCTGTTCCCACGTGTGGCCTTGTGGCAGGAAAGCAGCAGCTTTCCGAGTCTGAAAGTGAGTAACAGGGAGCTGAGAGGTACAGAGCCAGGCACTGCGACGCGGGGCAGGCGGCAGGGTATGGCTCTGCTCGGGGGCAGAGGAACGGGCTGCAGGAGGCCGTGGGTTTCCAGGACCCACGGACGTGCTGCAGGAGCATGGGGGGGGGGTGCGGGGCACAACAATGCTCCCAGCATGTCACAGAGCAGAGAGAGGTGCCCTTAGGGAGCGTTACCCCACGCTGCAGGGGCGAGGTATGGGTGCGCTCAGGGCTGAGCCAGGTGACCCACGGAGGTGGAAGGCAGCAAAGCTTTTCCAAACCTGCAGCCAAGTCCAGGAGCGCAGGGACACTGCAGCAGCTGAACCCAGATTTCCTGAGCCAGCTCCCAGTGCCCCGGCCCCGAGGCCTTGGCAACTTTGCGTGCTCCAGCAGCAGGTCATGGGAGCACCTTGTCCCATAGTAACTGTACCTCCTTTTCCTGTTTGAAGTGATAAACGAGCTGGACGGCCTGGCCAAGGGCCCGGAGATGGAGCACCGGGCCGCAGGCTATGCCCGCCAAGTGCAGGAGAGAGCCAGGAAGTCCATCGAGTTCCTGGAGGAGCGTTTTGAGAGCCGGGACAACTGCTTGAGGGCTCTGACCAGCCGAGGCAACGAGCTGGAGTCCATCTCCTTCCGCAGCGAAGACACCACTGGCCAGCAGGTAAGGGGCCTCTGGCCGCAGCGACAGTGCTGCCGAGGGCTTGAGGCTCTTTGCCACCATCTCCCTGGGGGAAACGAGGGACCCTGGGTGGGGGGTGGCTCTGTCCCCACCTTTGCAGGGGGCTGGGCAGGCTCCTGAGAGCTGCGTTTCAGCTCAGCACAGCCCTGCCCTCGGCTGAGCTGCAGCAGTGGCTCAAGGGCAGTGCAGAAATGAGGGTGGTGGGGTTGCAGGATTTTTTTCCTGTCAGGGGTAACTTTGCCCTTTTCTTCCAGGGAAATAATGATGACCTGATTCTGTCCTGCTGCCTGCACTATTGCAATGACAAGGCTAAGGATTTCATGCCCTCCAACAAAGGTAAACACCCTCACGTTCTCATTGTCCCTTCTCTGTTGCTTTTCACATACTCTTCTCGTTTCTCTTTCACTGCCCTTGGAGCCACCCTCTCCTGCATTTTGCCTCTTTCAACACCAAGGTGCCACCTCCTGCCTCTGGTTAGCCCCAGGCTGTGGCCCTCCCATCACATTGCCAGATGTGCACCTCACTGCACTTGGGGGATGCCTCATGAGAGCAGCCCACCACAAATGTCCACAGAGCCGTTTTGTGGCACTGGCAGCAGTGACAAAGGGCCAGAAAGAGCCTCCTGTCCAGGGCCCTTTTCCCTATGGATGCCCAGTTGGCATTGGCCACGCATGCTGGGACCAGACAGCCCCCGGGCTGTTGCCAGGGCGTTGGGGATGGGAATCGCATAAGCAGCTGCCCAAGAAATCAACCCGCATTTGTCAGTGCGAATTCTTAGCAGCTTAACTTGTCAGATTCACAGAGAAACCGTCACCAAATGTTTATGTGCAAATGATGCTGAATTTTGAAATCATGTGGATTATGGGGAATGGGGCCTGACAAGCTGACAGCCTCTGGTTTGTAACAAGGAGGCGCGTCACCAGCACGGAGCAGAGGATGTTTATTGTTACACATTTCTTAAAGTGTCCGCACAAAACCTCCCGATCCCGCTTTGGGCAGCCCTCGGCCCCAGGCCTGCCCTCCCACCAAGCCTCTGCTCCTCTTCCTCCCAGCACGGGCCAGCCGGGGTGCTCACCCCACCATCCTCAGCCCCGACACCGTGACCATAGCCCGCGTTCCTGGCCACCCTCCCCTTCCCCTTGTCCTGCCGCTCCCCACGCAGCCAATCTGGGCCCATGTTGGGCTCCCATAAACTCTGTTTTTTCCATTCCCGTCCTGGCTCGGAGGCACTGTGTTTCCTGTGCTCATAGGAACAGTACTCTGGTCACAGGACCCAGCTGCTTACACATACCCCATATGCTTCCCCTGCTTCACACACACGTAAGCGTGGCTCCCACATCCCAGCCCGGCACGTTGCGTGCGGGGCAGCTCATCCATCTGGGGGCAAGATCCCTTCGGTTATTTCTCAGGCTTCATCTCTCTCTCTGGCTGTCTGAGCCCCAGCCAGAAACGCCTCGGTGTCAGTGGCAACTCCAAAAAAACTTCACAAAAAATAAGGGTTGGTTTTAGATCTTATAATGAGATCACCAGAATAATAGCACCAGCTTCCTGCTGGAGCCAGGGTCGCAGGCCGTCTTCCTGGCCTGGGTCAGGCAGAGGGACCTCCTCTTCCCTGCCTGCGGCGTGGTGCACCAGCCCGTGCGGGCAGCACGGGGCCCTGGCACTGCCCTGCCCTGCCCTGCCCAGGGACTGCGGGCAGAGATCACAAATCATCCCCCGGCCAGCACAGCGCGGGGAGAAGGCAGCCTTTGAGGTCTGCGAGCTGCACCGGGCAGCCTTGGCGGGGAGCGGGGAGCAGCGCTGGGGCGCCGGGCAGCACCTGAGGAGGGGCATCAGGGTGGGGGGGGCACGGTGTGGGATGGGTGCGAGGGCTGGGGCAGAACGGGGAGGGCTGAGCTTCACGCCGCTCTCTTTCTCATTGCAGATGATCCCATCCGTTTGCTCAGGGAAGTGGTTTTACTGACGGACGACCGGAACCTGCGAGTTAAAGCACTGACCCGCAACGTCCCGGTGCGGGACATCCCCACCTTCCTCAAGTGGGCCCAGGAGGGCTGAGGGGGCCGAGCCACCACGAACAATAAACGCCATGTCTTCAACACACCCCAGAATGGCCGTGCTGCGAAGGGCCCACCCCCGAGGGCAGACCAGCTGGGAAGGTCATTGCTGTGGATGGTTCATGTGGAGGCTGGGCCGTCGAGGATCCCACCAGCCTTTGGGCAGTGCCAGAGCGGAGCTGGCGAGCCCCGCTGGCGAGGGAAGCTTTGGGTGAGCCCGTGCCGGATCGCCAGCCTCTTGCTTGGTTTGCTTGGTTGCAGAGAGCTCGAGTCACGAGTTAGTGGCTCTTCGGGTTTGTAGGCTGCGTAGGGCAGAGACCGGGGACACGCCAGCGCAGACTTTGGGATTGCTTAGTCTAGCTCACGCTCCTCGGAGAGGCCTTGGACTTCAAGGGCAGGTTCCCTCCTGCCCCAGCCTGCTCGTCCTGCGTTGGCCCAGGCAGCCCCAAGCCTCCGGACCCTTCTCCACCCCACGCACGGGGTGCTTCGTGCGGAGGTGCTTGTCCTCTCCCTGGTGAAGGCTTTGCTTGTTGAGTTTCTTTGAGACTTCAGTATAGGTTAGTTTTCAGGTTTGTGCCCTGCCTGCTTTGCTGGAGGAGGAGGCTTTGAACACCCCCAGGCTCCCCACAGCTGCTTTCTGTCTTGCTCCCCAGCCATTACCTGCCCCTTCACTCCTTCCCCAAACCCCTTCGTTCCCACCCCACTGCCTTTAGACACATTTTTGACCCAAGACTCAGCATGAGGCTAACAAAATTATCCAAGGACCAGCTGTCCCACAGGGCCCGTGTATTCTCACATTGCCACGGGCTCCCCTTGTGTGTGGGATGCAGCTTCTGCCTGTGGCTGCCAGCTGGGGCAGCACCCACTCCCCAGCCGTTTGCCCTGGGACCATCCCCTCTGGAGTTGCCCCTTCGCCGTGCAGGGAGCCGTGAAGGGACACCACTGCCTCATCACTGGGTCATACCGCGCTGGGAGCTGGTGCAGGGTTGGGGTGCTGGCTGAGCCCCCCACACATACCCGCACACCCCCCACACACAGTCCCATCCCCAAGCATCCCATCCCCAGCCTAGTTAACGCGCCAGATACAGAAGCTAAGAGGGAGCATTAACCCATGAACCGGAGCCCCTGGAGCTCTGTCAAGTCCCAGTCCCATGAGCAGAGAGTGGGAGTGACCCCAAGGCCGTCCCCGGTCCCCGCTGGGGCGCCGCGGCCGTGGGAGGGAAGCGTCAAAGGTGGCAGAGGAAGCAGTAGGATGGAGCCCAGCGTTTTCCTTTCCTGTGTGGGTGGCTCGGACCCGGTGTCTGCATCAGGAAGCCCAGCGTTACCCCTGCACCAGCCACCCGGCCAGGGCCAATGCCGGGGTGGGAGCCTCGGCAGCGCCCGGCCGTGGTGGGGCCGCACGGCGCAGCCACAGAGCTGAGACCTCGCCAACCTGTGCTGCATCGGCTGCCAGCGAAGGAGGGTCTGTGCTGCGGAGCAGAGCCTGTTCAACAGAGACTTCGGGGTGCCCGCGCCTGCTGCAGGGCACATGGAGCCACGGCTGAGCCCACCCGGGGCCGTGGCGCACGCAGCACCCACGCCCCGGTTTGATGCCCACACCCCCATGCAGCGCCCAGACTTTGCTGCCTTCTCGTCCACACCGGGTGTGTTTAAATGGTGGGTTTTTTCTAACGGAGCTGCCCCCTTTTCAAGGCCCTTCGCGGGCTATTACCAGCTCGGAGGGACCCGCAGCGCTGCCGGACGCAGACCCCTCGCATGAGGTTTGCTGCCACCAGACGAGCTGGCATGACAGCGAGCCGAACGGGGGCTTGCTGGTGCCAGGCTGCTGCCCCAAGCCCCCGCAGGGAGCCCACGTCTCAGGGAGGCAGCCACATTCGGGCTGTTTTGTTAAGATGGTTTTAATCATTTTTAGTATTAAACACTTGTCTGTGCAGCGTGTTGTTTCATTTGCCGTCGGCGGGCGAGTTTGCCGTCGAGGTTGGGGCAGGGGTGGGTGCGGGGACACGTTTGTGCTTGCGAGGACAAC